TTTTTTTTTTTTTTAAGAAAAAAGTACCCCAAATGGATTTTACGTCACATTAAAAGAGTGCAATTAGCACTATCTGTTCGAAAAGTTTGAAGAAAAAATTTGTAGCCATTTTCGAGAAAATGGCGATGGAGGGTTTCTGGAAATTTGAAATTTTGAGCTAGTTTTTACAGAAAACTGTTGAGTTTGCGAGAAACTGTATATGTCATTATTTAAAGCACATAATAATAAATATATAAATGTACATAATCCTAAATGTAATAATGTTAACAAATCACCGCCAATGTAAATATTAACGACGTGAGAGACCGTTGGAACCATAGACTGTTTTTGTTATTTTTTTAATTTTGCGCGAAAACGACTAAACTTTAAAAAAAAAAAAATGTACACGACAGTGAAGGAACTCACAATGGAGAACAAATTTTATTTGAAGGAACAATGTATATCTTCAGTTTTGTAGTTGTAGGAATATGCCCGAAAATTTTCAAAATCTTGAAATTTTCGGAAATTAGAGTTATTTCTGAAAATCGGACCTGTGCCATCTTTATAAGTATATTGTACTCTTTTCTTACAAGAAATTTAAAGAAAAAATTTGGAGCAGTTTTTGAGAAAATGTTGAAAATGTCCGGGGGGGGGGTTCATGTAAAGTATCCCCAAAGTTTTGCCAGATCGTCCGGGATCCATTTTGAAAAATATCCTACGTGTGGTTTAGGCGCTAGGGGTGTTCACAAACGGACGGACGGACGGACGGACGGACGGACGGACGGACGGTCGGTCGATTTGAAGGAGAAGAAGAAAAAACACTTTTTCGGTACCAGGGGACCTCTAAACGTGTATTTACGTTGAAATATCGAAATCGATTTTCCGCAGCATTACGTATATTGGTATGTATACGGGATATGGTTTTGTATCTGGATTGGTTTCTGGTTTGGTTTGGTATCTGGATGTAACGCCAAAAGGTGTATTTCCGTCACAATCTTAACGAATTTTGCAACTCTACATACTTTTCCCAGTAGCAGGTATGTGCTCCATGTATGCTAGCATAAGGATCGCCCATAAACTACGTAACGCTAAAAGGGCGGGCAGTTTTACATAAGGGTAAGGGGTATCGTGATGTCATTTTCGTGCTAGGTAACAACGATATTTGTTTCGTTTTTGTTTTTACATTTCTCAACGTTTGGTGAAATCATTTCTTTGTTGATTCTTGTACTAAACCATTAAAATATTAACTAATTAATTTGTTTTGAAAACATATGGGTGCGTTACTGGGGGAACTGTGTGTATTCAAAAGAGTAACATGTAACATAATAGAATTCACCATTGACATTTGTAGAAGTGAAGACAGCGTTTTGCGACTGTGTTGCAAAAAATATGGTTTGAGAATTCGCGAAATGTGGGCTTCACTCCGCCCAGTGAGTTGTCTGAGTTGAGGGCAACGTGTTTTCAACTTGCTTTGCTCTCGCTGCCCTGAATTCGTGAGCGAAAGTGAGTTCACTTTCTCTGAGTAACCTATACCTGCTGACCTCCACATTCGACTATTCGATTCACGATAGTGCCAAGCCCACCCACCAGTTGATTAGAACACAGGTTTGTTGGTGATATGGTGTGATAGGATAAGCCCTTAGTTGCAGTTAGTGGCATAAATGCATTAGAGAATGGTTCTCGAGTTCCGGGCAGGCACAGAGATTTCCCTCACGGTCGCCGTTTGTAGACGATATCTAAACAACTATTGACCTTGCTCTTCATCCACACTGATAACAGTAACGCCAAGAAAAGTAATGTAATTGTCGAGACTACAAGTGATGCGTGTTGATTAGTCCAATGGATGATGAAATAATATAAGCTTATCTTATAAAAATTGGGTCCTGTTAGTTGATTCCCTATCCATATAGGTATTAAGGACATTATTTTTCACGGAATTTATTTACACTTCTTACTTGTAATATCTTCCCTTTTGGGAACCTTCTCATCTTCCAGTTTTTAACGTGTAAAATATTCTTTAGAGTAACTTGCATAGAATTTATTTATTAGCGAACTTTGCTCTCAATTTTAACAATGTTTCCTCTTATTTACTCGCAACGAACACAAACAATTTCAAAAGACAATTTTTAGTGAAGTTTTCACACACAGATCATCATTCGTGGTGGTAAGCATTGAGTTTAAAAATAAACAACTCTGATCGTTTTATAACTTTCAGAGACCTTTTCTTGAAATTTGCTTTTCCATCAGAGCTGGATCTTAGCGATAATGGCGGTATACAAGTTCATGAGTTATTTCACAATGTTTTATTGCTGCCTCAGGACATATAGAAAATGAAACTATAGGAATACTTTCCTAACTTCTAAATAGTGGCCATCGATATCTATCTCAACGTGCGGTGAAATCAAGCATAGCACACAATCTGTTCGGACCGACAACGTACGTTTCATGCTCTAAACAGTGAACGTGCCCCTTGGCCCTCTCTCCACACATTCCTCGCGTTTCGTAGGTAGCGGTTCGTGGCTGCTCGCATCGTAACGTGTAGCGCCGCGTGCGCGGTCACGGACCTTGCCGCCGCCGCCGCCGCCGCCGCCGCCGTCGTCGTCGTCGTCGTCGTCGTCGTCGTCGTCGTCACAGTCTCCGTTACCTGCCCACTTTCCGCCTTTCCCCGGCCGTGAACGCGTGGGTTGCCCGTCGCGGCCGCGTGAGTTTGAGAGAGAGACGGCGACGTGTCAACAGCACCCAGCACGTGCTTCCGCTTTTCACCACCGTACCGCGGAACGTTCTTCGACCCGGCAAGCGGCCACCGCTTGTCATCTATGTAAGGCATCCCCGTGGCTGTCAATGAGCAGCACGTTTCACCTGTCGCCCCTATTTGCAGCCTAGTCTCTGACACCATCTGCCTTTTAAACCGACTACGCTCCGCCGAGAGTGTAGGGATCTGCGCACTGGGGTAATTGGTGTGGGTGGCATGCGACGATGTTGGAGTGAACGAGCCGATCTGTCGAACACCGTGCACCTTGGTGCAACTGGTGACATCTATTTGTATCTTCCAGGAGACAGAGTGCTATTTGTTCGCTGGAATATCAGGATAACGTTATATGAAACCGGCTCCTCCCGACCAGTGAACTTGCTAAATATACTGTAGTCCTTCCTATCTCAAAGTTAGTTGCACTGGAAACGTGTTTGACCTCCTTTACGTGATTAGAGAGGAAACCGCGGACGACATCCTCTGACGACCAGTGGCAATATCGCAACCGGTAGTTGTCAGTTGAGTGCGCTACATTGTTAAGTCGAAACTGTTGCCGGTCTCAATAATCCATGTAGTGAGACTGGACAGTTAACGAGAGTGGTCTGGGGGTTTGTGAACAGTGAATGAGAGTGGTCAATTTTTAAAACGAATATGTTTTGCGTTTCAGAAGACACCTGCCAAAACAGCGTCTGCGGCCTCCGTGCCAGCTGCCTCTCCTGTCCAAGCTCCACACGTGAGCTCTGGGGATCCTGCAGGCATCAACCAGAAGATCCAGGCTCAGGGAGATCTTGTTCGCAAGCTGAAGTCTGAGAAGGCTGATAAAGTAAATTACTCTTCATTTATTAATATTATTATTTGTTCAATATGTATTTATTTATATATTCATGTATCTCATTGAATTTCATTATATTATCATTTGGTATATTTTCTTGCCTTTTTGCATATCTATACTATAGTTTCTTTGTCATTTGTAGTAAAGTTGTATACAGTTGTATACAGAAAACAAGTCTGGAGTAGTAGATCAATGTGGGCCCATATTTCAAACAAATACAAAGTGTCCCACCCATCCCCACCGGACAACAGAAATACTGTATGGGGGGTTAATTTGTATTAGAATTAAATACATAGTTATTAAAGTGCATTTTTTCGCCAAGAAGTAATATTCTATAGACTTATTTTGCCTAATATTTTTATTTTTGAAGATTTTGAGTCTTTTTTAAAGGTACTATGGAATTTTTCCCTGCATTATATAGATCACAAAAAGAGGAATACAATTATATATCATATGATAATATTTTAAAAATAATAGTGCATAAAAAATTGCGTATTTCTAACATGTTATTTGATATTGCAAGGAGTATTGAAAATTTATTGTAACAACGGTATGTAATCGCTGCTTTTGGAAGGGTTTCTAAAATAATTGATATTGCATGTAATTCCAAATGCAGAAATGTTCTATTCTTAGCCAAAATTTTTATCAAAACAATAAGGAACTTGTGGCATTCGGCAGGATAAATGCTGCTGGAAAAAAAAACACACAAGATAGTTTTTCTAAAAGTAACTTGCACACTGTTCAAGAACAACAAATAAAATACTCTTGTACATCACCACACTAAATTAAATATTTTAACAAAAATAATCTTCATGAATACCATAATAACATTGTATAGTATGTAGTACAACAGTTCTTTACATTCTAAAAGTAACAACAAAATTTGCTGTTTTATAACACAACACATGAATAACAAATACTTAATGGTATGCTGCCTCTTCCGTGGACTCTTGCTGTTGTATGACATCATGTATTTAGTAAGCAATGATTCACTGACTATGAGAATTCAGTCTGTATATGCAGTATAAGAACAGGCAGAATAGCACAATCAATACATTTTTCAGCCAAAATAATTTTTTTTTTTTTTTTGTCTATTTTTCCCCAACTTTCTTGTCTAACAAAACCATAGGCAGCTTTTGCATGGCTGCATAGTTGACATTCAATTGCTGTGTGTATGGGAAATTAGTTATGAAGATGTCATCTTTGTATTCTTGTTTTCATGATGTATCGTATTGTGAGAAACTATGTAGTTCCATTTAAAAATGAAAGATGATTTAATTTCTCCTAAAATAGAAGTATTGTGAACAGTAGATGTATGGCATATTAGTTGTCTTCTAATTCTATTGTGCTGGTAAAAACTTGTGTCAGATAACTTTTAGCTACTTAGAAGTTATTGGGTGTGGGGGTCCATAATTAATGGGACACCTTCTATATTGCTGCATGATGTTCACTTCATCTTTAAATCATATAACATGAAATAGAGGAAACAAAGACAGTCTGTTTTGTTTTGTAGGAAACTGTTACCAAAGAAGTAAATGTACTTCTCAAGTTGAAGGCTGATTTCAAAGCCATAACTGGCATTGATTGGAAGCCAGGTGTGCAGGCGCCAGTTTCCTCTTCTGTCAAAGCTTCACAAGCTGTGAGCTCTGGGGATGCTGCAGATATCAACCAGAAGATCCAGGCTCAGGGAGATCTTGTTCGCAAGCTGAAGAGTGAGAAAGCAGATAAAGTAAATATAACTCGTTATATTTCCTTGTCATTTTATTATTTATACCCAGGGGACTTGCTTTTGTATTACAAATTCATGTATTGCCATGTTTCCAAGTTAAGTTCACATCATTTTTTAATTATAAAAGATATAATAGAGTAAGCCAATTGACAGTCTTGATTTAATCTGTAGGAAACTGTTACTAAGGAAGTAAATGTGCTTCTCAAGTTGAAGGCTGATTTCAAAGCTGTAACTGGCATTGATTGGAAGCCAGGTGTGCAAGTGCCTAAAACACCTATTGCAGAGGCTCTGATAAAAGTTGTTCAAGAAATCAAGACTGAACCTGCTGAATCTCCTGAAGCTTTGCACAATAAGATTGTACAACAAGGTGACAAAGTACGTCAGTTAAAATCTCAGAAAGCTACCAAGGTAAATATTGTAACTTCTTTGTTGAAGCTAATTTTATGATAACATTTTAATTCTGTATATTTTAAACCTCTTCTTTGCATGAATAATTTTTGTTGCGTGAATTTGCATGAATTATTTTTGTTGCATTTGTAACTAGAGTTGTTCAGGTCATAAAATTTAAAATTTTGATTATGTTTGTACCTTTACCTGAGGAATAATATCAAAAATATTAAATATTTTTTAATTACGGTTTTTCATGATGGTTGATCATGAAATGAGACTTTGCTGACTTCACTTGAAAATGTTCCAGCAAGTGCTACATAGTCCACTGCATGGGAGGATAATCTACTATAAATAATAATTTGTTTTTTGACTTGCATAATTATAACATTAGAAGTCAGTGTTTATATTTCTAGAGGCTTGACCAATGAAACCTTTATCATAGGACCAATCTAATATAAAATAAATTTCCCAAAAATATTAAAAATTAATGTGAAGAGGAAAGTTTCTATGTATTGTTAAAAAAGTATTGAATAGAAATGTGTCTATAAGTTAAATGAAATGTATTAATTGCATATATTTTATTTCTTGTGCAGATATGAATTTGTAGATTCATTATGAATATATGTGTTGGGTGTATTAATTTGTTTTGTCCTTTTTGGATGGTGCCTAAAACTTTTCAGTACATAAGTCTATTTACTAAATATATAGATTTAGGTAGTATTTTAAGTCAAAGATAAAGTAATAAATATATTTTGCTTTAATTTTGGAATCGTATTGTTCAGGATGTAATTGATGCTGAAGTCAAAGCATTACTAAGTTTGAAAGCAGATTTCAAAGCTGCCACTGGTCTTGATTGGAAACCTGGAATGAATGTACCTTCAGGCGATGCAAAACAATCTTCTGATTTGGTATGTATTGTAATGTTTCCAGGAAATTTGTAGTCAATTGGAAAAAAAGAAAGATCCATTTTATTCATCTGAACCCAAACAAGATGCTATTCTTCCTTTCGAATTGTTCAAAAGTATTAAAAGTCAATTATCTGAATGGAAATATAAGTACATTTGCTATTGATAACATTGGTAAACTAAAATTAACTTTTTTCTGGTTCAAGAAGAAAAATATCAAAATGTAGTAGAACTTTTTGCACTGAATTCAGATCTTTCTCTCTTTCATTCAGTTTTTTGTGACATCTTTGTTAACTCTCAGACAAGTTAAAAGAAGCTCAAAAATTAAATGAATGTATGCTTATAAGTGACTCAAATAAAATGTAAAGGTAGCAGTTTTCTTCAGCGAACTGCATTGGGAACATTTTTTCAATGTCCAGCAATATTGCAAACAAAATTGCACTCTTTCACGATATCTCATCTTTGAGAGAGATTAGCTCATTCACCCCTTATTTGTCACAGACAGCACTGAAATTATCTGGGAATAAATATTGGGAGTCGAAGAAATGCATTTCATGCAACTACAATACCATATCTTTGTCTGTTCAACTATTCATCCACGTGCACACACATGCACAGAAATTAGACTTTTGATTCTCTAAAAATTTGTATACAACAGGTGTCAATTACCAAACTTTTCATCTGCCATTGAAGGTCTTATTTGGAGACCATAAAAATTGGAAAACATATGTCTCCAGGAGGTCTGGAAATATTTTTCTTTTACCGTGACACCCAGTTGCGTCAGGGCATGGTTCCTGCCGCTCTGTGACATTCCACCTTGGGTGGACCCCTTGTCTTACTTAGTCCAGGGGGCATGTTGCCTGATTGGTCGATGCTTTCTCTGCATAAGCCGATTATCAAGCCAACTAGCTGGCAGGTAGAGGGGAACGTCATTCTATATAAACTCATCTGCAGTCCACCTACATGCATTTCGCCTTGAGGGAGTTTACAGAGTGACAAATGAAATGTTGGCATCTGTATCTAGGACAGATAGGCGTCTCGTGGTCAGCCAAGTACATATCACAAAAATTCCTTCCTCAATTTTAGCATCAATTATTTAAAAACTTATGTTTTCTAATAGTGAAACAAACATGCGTTATTGAAACGTCTTAATTTAATATAAAGTGAATGTAGAAGAATCTTATCAGAGTTACCTAATGCGGAATGAAACACTTTCTGCTCTGCAGAGGTAACTGATACATGCTATGGCTCTTCCTTCTGGATATAATTATTGTTTGTCCATACTACAACATTCACATAAAAAGCAAGAATATTTTCTACATCCTAACTGTTAACAATATGTCTTAAATTGTTACATTCAGACCAACAATACCTGTAACACTGAATTGTTCCCAACACAAATTTAATATTTTCTGATGATTAGTTATCAAGTTAAGTGTGTAAGCTAATGGTACAGGAGGAAATTTGTTACCAATGTATACACTAATCCACTATCTTCAGAGCATGTAACTTGAAATGTATCGACAAGTATGATGAAAGCACTCATTAGTGTCTGAAGGGAGGAGTTTCCAGCCTTTCAGTCTTGAGCTCAAACACTCAGCCTTTTTAAGGGGACAAGTTCAAATCTTGAACCAATTTGTTTATGGAGAGTTATCAGTGTCAATTATTGGTAAAGTAGAATACTGCTTGCATTGCTCTTCAGTGCTACTTCATCATCCAATTCATCTTCTACAGTTTATGTTAGATGTTGGGGTACAGTGCTTCTTTGTGAGGCACTGGCCTTAGAGTAGATGCTAATTTCAGTGTTTTACTGTGTGTTTGGATCTCTTAATTATTCCTTTTCTTTTTTTTTTTTGTAATAAAGAAATACTATCAAACAACAACTTACAACAAAATGCCATCAGTTGTAGAAAGTATTAAGTATGTAGTGAACTCACAATTAATGAATCACAGGGGACCAACATTTGTAAAATTCGCTAATTAGGGAATTCTTTATATAGAGAATTTTATGACAATAATTATCAACATATAGCATTACACATATAAGAAATTTACAAAAAGTAATTTCATTTAGTGTTGAACCTTTATTTTATAATCAATATAAATTATTGTATTTTTGGTAAAGAGCACTTAATTGTCTACTGTGATATTTGAGCTCCTTAATTGTTCACTACACCACAGCCAAGATTATGAAAATCTTTCATATTATCTCTCTCATTGTCAGACACAGTAATATAGGTCTCTAATATATTGAGAATGTGATTAACTTTCTTTGCATTCTGGTCCTTTTTTTGGTAGTGGTTCTCTCACAAAATTAATCTTATCATTTGTAAACTTCTTTTTATTGCAGGTTGATAGTTTGAATAAGAAAATCGTGGAGCAAGGGGACAAAGTTAGGAATCTAAAAGCACAGAAAGCTTCGAAGGTATATTTAAGTAATTTAATTGTAAATACAGACCCTCAAAGCCTTTTCTGTTTTAACACAACTGTCTATTACAGGACATTATTGATGCTGAAGTAAAAACCTTGTTGAGTTTGAAAGCTGAATTTAAACAAACTAGTGGCCAAGAGTGGAAGCCAAATACTGTAACTAGTAATCAAGCAGCTTCACGTTCATCTCCACCAAAAACTCAGTCTACTGCAAACATGGCACCTACTCAAAAAGGACTGATTGGGGAAATTATATCTCAGGTTTCAAAGATTCAAGAATTAAAATCCAAAAAAGCTTCAGAAAGTGTTCTTGCCACAGAGAACAAATCATTGTTAAATCTTAAGACTGAATTTAAAAATATAACCAATCAAGAGTGGGATAGCAGCACAGGTAAATATAGTAACTTCTTGCTCTCATCTAGTTAACTTATGTTCTACTTCCATCAGAAAGAGAAAATGTTTCAGATGAAATGATGCATATGTGCATTTTTTTTATTCTTCTGTCTTAAATAATATACAATCTGACACTTCAGCCTGCCCATAATTTCATGGGTGGCTGCATCTCTGTGATATCACTGCAGTGCCTTTGACTTTGTAGGGTTTGAGTCCTAATGGTGGCAGGATTTTCAATGCTAACTACATACTTAGGTCGAATTCAGCCACTAACTGGAGGAGAATTCTAGTCGCCGCCAAACAATGCTAGGCAAATGCCAGTGCAGCGCCCTTACAAACGGGGTCATGGACCGCCCATTATCTTTCCTTCCTCTTCCTGGTGTTATCTTCACCCCTTTTTTAGGCACCCACTGTTACATACACTACAATACCATACATGCTAGGAGACTAGTAGGAAGCTTAGAACTTGTGCTGGCTGGGGCGGTGACTCGCTGATGAGAGAAACCTGGTTTGAGAAAACTGCAAGCTGACGGGTGCAAGCTGTTGGCACTGGATCTCATGATTCAGCAGGGGAAGGTCACTGCCACCTCGTGCAACAAAAATGTGCACTACACTTACGGGGGTAATGGCCTTAGCAATTGACCCGCCCAGAACAATCAAAGCACTGTCTTATCAGGAGGTCAGACCTGGTGGACTGGAGTTAACAAAATATGTGAACATTTATTGGCCTGGTCTTTACTGTGCGTATTTAGTGTATTTATTAATGTTCTCGAACATTATTATAATCTGCTTTGTGAAATGCTCCATAATGATGTTGGGCACTTATTTATGAATGCGTTTTGAATATCACCTTTCTTTTTTCTATCAATGTACCTCACATAAAAAGTTAAATGTCTGCTTTCTTTCAAACTTGAGAAATGCTGGCTTTTTCCCAACTGGTGGGTCTGCTTCTATAGACTATAGAAAATTGAGTGAGACCAGGCCAATCAGTCTAGCATACACATGCAAGCTCTGCTCAGGGCAGGCCTGCCCTAGATGCAGTATGAGCCGCAGCTGACTCTGGCCTAAGTCTTCCAGCTAACTTGGCCATGAAGTTAGGCAGCTTGGCCACTGTTATTGGCAGTGATAGATCTCTTCACTGTCCTCACTGAGCTGTACAATTTCTAAAACAAGATCAATTCCCTCTTCTATAAACTGATCTTTAAGAGTAGGTTCTGCAGTGCAACCAAACATCCCATTTTCACATTCAAACAATGGTATTCTTGGAATGTGTATATGAATTGGGGTAAGAATTTTTGTTACTTAAAGCACTAACACAGCATTTGGGGTCAGGTACCGGACTTTTATGGACAACAGAGTTACACTTTTTAGGAGTTCAATCTCTTACTCTCCCCTCCCCCTTGTCTCATCTAATAAAATTTGTTTGCATAGTCCGATTTGACTTCACTTCTCACTTTTTCAAACATGTCATTGCAGGGGTTAGCTACGGTATCAACCCCCTGAAAATTGATGAACTTTTTGGAGCAGGTCAGTGATCATTAAGGGGTTGATTTGAATTCTATAGTCAAATATGAACCAGTGATTTTTGGGCATAATCAATATTCCCTTGATTACAAAAAATATTAAATGAACTTGATAATTAATTGCTTTCTGTTTTAAAGCGACAAAACATATTAATAAATTATAAATTCATTCCTCTCATTTGGAATCCATTATTTATCCTTAGAATCGGATATATCGAGGTTGGTGCAAACACGGTGCACAGCTCTGGACCCAAGAAGTAAGGTGCCCTTAGTAAGAAGCCCTGCAGTTAGATATCGGCAAAGAATAAGACAAATCATATTGTGTGCTTATTTGCTTCATTGCGCCAGCCATAGTCTTGCACCAGTTAGATTTAAAATTCTTAATTTCATTATTTACTGCAGAGAGGACCCCATTCTGACTTTCTGCACAGGGGCATCCAAAAATTTTATTTTAAATGGTTTGAGGAAAGAAAAAGGTTGGAAATTCGTGATCTAACCTATTTGTTTATCTGATAATAATTTGTTTCTGGTAGTCCTTTTAATTTTATGTAGTATGTAAAATGTAGAGATTTGAAGAACAGATTATGAGTGGCTTTCCAATAGATATAATCAAATACAGATGCGGATTCAAATGAGCATATTATAATACATCATTAAATCTGTTAATTATTTATTGTTTTGTAGATGCAGCCCAATCATTTTCTGCAATAGTAGCTGCACAAGGTGACAGTGTTCGCCAGTTAAAGAGTGCAGGATCAAATGCGGTAAGAGAAATAAAACACACCAACATATTGTTGCCTACTTCCATCAGGTATCCAAGATCACATATACATTGTTTAGTTGCTAATTTTGCTCTGATTTATTTTTTCAGGCACTTGTAGATGAGCAGGTTAAGAAATTATTGAAGTTAAAAGCAGATTTCAAAACTCTCACTGGTGAGGATTATGCTCCAGCAGGTTCAAATGCTGTTAGATCAAAACCAGAAAAGAAAAAAGCAGCACCCCAAAAAGCAAAAGAGAAGCCAGCAAGCACTACCTCAGCAAAGAAAGTTGAAGATGTATGATGCCATAGATTTAAAAAATATTTGTGATTATCTAACTTGACCTTAACTTCGCCTCTCCCCTTCCACTGTCATTGTATTTACGCAGACTTTCACTTTGCTCTTCTACCTTGTCATACATCTTTCTCACAAAGATCTTTAATTCAGTGTATTCCTTCTTTTCACGTTCAAACCCATTTCAGTTGAATATATTCTGTCTCTTTGTGACATTTCCATCTTTCTAATATATTTGTTTTTTTATGTTTCTAGAAAAAACAAACAAGATTAGGACTGGAAGCTACTAAAGAAGAAAATCTTCCTGAATGGTATTCTCAGGTGGATATTTTGTTGAATGGTACAACAGAATTCCTTTGTGGAAAATTGTTTTATCATATTAATAGAATTTTGTGTTTCACAGGTTTTAACTAAAGGTGAACTAATTGAATATTATGATGTAAGTGGCTGCTATATTTATCGACCTTGGTCATTTGCTATATGGGAGACAATCAAGGATTTCTTTGATCGTGAGATAAAGAAGTTAGGTGTTCAGAATTGTTACTTTCCTCTTTTTGTGTCTCGTTCAGTGTTGGAGACAGAGAAAACCCATGTTGCTGACTTTTTCCCAGAGGTAAACTAATATATTTTGTAAACCTTATATATTTTTGTTCATCATTGATCATTTTAAGTACTCAAACCTATTTGTTTAAGGTTGCATGGGTTACTAAATCTGGTGACACTGATATGGCGGAACCTATTGCTATTCGTCCAACAAGTGAGACTGTTATGTACCCTGCTTATGCAAAGTGGGTGCAATCATACAGAGATCTACCTATTAAACTAAATCAATGGAACAATGTTGTGGTGAGTCAGTAATTTTAAAAAAACAAAAATATTACAATTTCTGAAGTAATGCATCAATTGGATTGCTAATAACACACACATTTCTTTGTTGCAGCGTTGGGAATTCAAGCATCCCCAGCCATTCCTCAGAACACGTGAATTTCTTTGGCAGGAAGGTCATACAGCATATGCTTCTTGTGAAGAGGCTGAAAAAGAAGTGACAACTATTTTGGGTGAGCATTATTTGAGTGTTCTTTTATTTGTAAATAAGTATTGATAATACATTTAAACATGAAATATTATATTTGCAGATCTGTATGCCCAAGTGTACACTGACCTCTTAGCAATTCCGGTAATTAAAGGCAGAAAGACAGAAAAAGAACAATTTGCTGGGGGAGTTTATACCACCACTGTGGAAGCATTTATTTCAGCCAGTGGACGTGCAATTCAAGTAAGCACAATTTATAATGAAAGCAGAAAAAGTGAATTGATAAATAGAAAGCAACATGAAGTAAAAAGCGACTTGGATAATAAAATAATTGGTTAAGAAATTTACAATAAATAAAAATATTCCTGAAAAAGTGAGAGTCATGATGCTGATGTTTTATGAATTGTTGTAATCGTGTATAATTTACAACAGTGTGTTCAATTATATTAATGAAATTCTAAAGTCTTTCAATTTTATTTTCATATCCAAAACTCTCATTTTGTTGTTGATGATTTTATTTTTGTAGGGTGCTACTTCTCATCACCTGGGTCAGAATTTTTCAAAAATGTTTGAAATTACATATGAAGATCCAGATACTAAAGAAAAGAAGTTTGTGTACCAGAATTCATGGGGCATCACAACAAGAACTATTGGTTAGGATAAGTTACTATTTAGTTAGTTTGACACTTCCCTGTAAACTTCAATTCATATTAATTTAATGGAAATTTTCAGGAGTAATGATCATGATACATGCTGATAATCAAGGTTTGGTGTTACCTCCTAGAGTTGCTTGCATTCAGGTAAGAAGTTGGATAAGAAATATTTTATTAAAAATCAGATAATACATAAGTGGGAAAATGTGGCTCTATGCACAGTGTGTGTGATGTATTTGTGTGTTTTTCAAGGCACTTCAGACTTTCAACTCTTTATGGCTCTTATTAACAGTATATTTTGACCTTACATCAATTGTTATATTTACTATTGACCTAATATTCTGAGTCATTTTCAATTTGTAAAAATGTATATCTGAAAATTCTGTGGAGATCTCCCTTTAATTTCTTTTCCTAATAGATGAATCATTACGGTGATATTAGGATAAAAATTATGCTGTGTTAACGCAAAAAAATATTTTCTTAATTTCTTATTATTATTTCTTTATTTTACAAGCTATTTTTGTAGCTGTTACATCTCTCTGTTAAATCTTGTCATGAATAAAATGTTAAATTAAATACTTGTTTCATGTACATAAGCGTTATGTTCATTTCAGGTGGTAATTGTTCCCTGTGGCATAACTGTTGCATCAACAGATGAAGAACGATCATCACTACAGTCGGCTTGCACTGATCTTGAAAATGAAATTAAAGCAAGTGGGTTGCGAGTGTATGGAGATTATCGTGATAATTATTCTCCTGGCTGGCGTTACAATCATTGGGAATTGAAGGTATGTCAAAATATTTTTCTTGAAGTAAAACAGGTGTATGTTTTATTCTTTAGAAAGAACTATTTCAAATTCCATTTCTCATTAATAGATTTTACCTATTAAATTTATAGTCTCCCTAATGTCAATCCAAATTTAAAACTAATCCTACTAGTCTGTTCTAATCCATCTTGTCCAGTTTAATGACAATTTTTTCACAGTATTTAGAAATGTAGAAGAAGTGTCTTCAAGAAGTAACATATTGATTGTAATTGGGAAAGTTCACATATTTTTATCTCTTAATTCTCTAGCTATGAAAGTCCTGATTAAGAAATATGCCATGTTCTGTTGTTTGAATGTGCAATGTGGGTGATTACTTTTCAGTGTTGAGTTAACTTTGTAGGATACTATTTTTAAAATAATTGAAATATACCAAATTTTCTGATGTTCTATACATATTAATTTGTATTACAATAATGAAGCCATATAAAATGAAAGTAAAATATAAAACTTCATCACAATCACAGAAAGAATTTAAGAAATGTATAATATAATTCCTAATTTCAGGGTGTGCCAATTAGAGTGGAATATGGTCCCAAAGATCTTGCCAAGCAGCAAATTGTAGCAGTAAGAAGAGATACTGGAGAAAAAATAACATTTTCACGTAAATCTGCTGTAAAAGATATTATCAGTCTTCTTGACACAATTCAAAGTGCCCTACTTGACCGGTAAGTCGTGATTGTGTTGTACTTGCAACTGTAGTCTTCATAGGGCCTGTCTTGCTTCTTGGTTGGTCAATTTGTTGAATCAACTCCATAGCTACTTTTCTTCTGAATTCTAATAAATCAAGGGTCAAAGTATTAGTTTTTTCAGTAGACCTCCTGTGCGAAATCCAGGCGTTTTGTATGCTTGCATCGATCCCACAGAGAAAGATTGGCCACTAATACTTTTTATACCAAATATGGGACCTGTAAGTAGAGACGTTCTGATCCATGCGATCAGTACTTCCCATGCTGGACTTGCACATTCTGGCATTATCTGGCTGAGTGATGTGTATCTTCTTTTCTCCAAAGCGAAGTAATGAGAGGTTACAGAGACAGATTCCACTTCATTGCATTTGAACCCCAGTGTTACAACGGAATTGTCATTTCATCTACATAAGAATTTGGGGAGTGCTTTGTCCATCCACAAATCAGATGTTCCGCGGGGTTGTGTGTTCATTTCAGTGTCATCAATTTAGAGACATCATTCCAGATGGTCTCTTCTAATTGTTTCTGTTAACCCTAAACCTAGTTCAGTAAAACAGTCAACATCTTTAAAGGAAATGAAGTAATTGTCAGCAAAAATGTGATGTAGTTCATTCCTAGAACAAGGCAGTTTTTCAACAAACTGCAATAGCACGGCACACCACGAAGACTGTAATCAGATTTGTAAATGATCTGCTTCCCTTTAACTCCTTGATAAATTTCAAAATCGATCAAATATCCTAATCTGACTTTCATGTACGATGCCTGGTAGCCAAGCCAAATAGGTTTGCTCTTGATATATTGTTTTAGGCTGTGGCGACCGTAATATGTGTGCATCACTTCATCAATTGCAATTTATTGTTCTCAAACTGTGTAATTCGAAAAAACATCTTTCAGTAATTCCAGATACGGTCGCAATTTCGACGATCTGTCACTTTGGTCGAGAGACTGATTGTCATTGAAATGCAAAAATCTCATTATTTCATCATACCTAGTTCATCTCATGGCATCAGTTATTGCACAATTATGTGTATACAGAGATTCTTCGCAATATATCTGACACCTAGAGAGGGCATTGTAACCATGTACTAAAATAATTTCCAAAAAGGTTTTCAGTTTTTCAGCAGATAATTGGAAGTGAGATTTACCTGTTTGTACTGCGTATACACTTTGCTTTTCTGCATGCTCTATCAAATCAGAGAAAAATAACTTGAACAACTCTAAGAAACTAAAAGGATGATCACAAAACTATGGATCCCTAAAAATATAAGTTTTTACAATTGATTTTATTTTTTATGACATTTTCGTTAAGTAAAACACATTCTAAAATTAATTTTTGTATTTCTGCAGACACTGTATTTTATCTATATCAGTACTAGCCTCCTCTTATCACCTATTCGGAAAATTTCTTCCTCCACTTGCAAGACTGTTACGCATCTGCAGACAACTGATGCAAATTCAGGCTGTCAAAGGTTCCACCATTTTCTTGGTCACCACTGTGCTTGTCCATATTCTCATGTACATTGATGGTGCAATGTAAACGATCACACTATGTGAAGCATCCAATATTTGTAAATATTCTAGTATATTTTTTGTTGTAAGTATCCGTAAAAGGGAGAGGATCTTTCAGTGTATAACTGATATCCCAAACTGAATGTATATCATATGTGCTGAGTGTTGCAAAAACGAAACATTCAAGTTTGAATATATTTTGTAAACTCCATTTGAAAGTTGGCATATTGGTTTTATCAAAAATTAATAACACTAATAATAATGAAATTATATCTGTAGACCCAAAACATTTCAACAATTATTTCCCATTTTATTTACCGTTTTCAGAACATTGTTGCAAAGAATGTCGCACAGATTGAAAACGCCAAATTAACACGTAAACTGCTACAAAGAGAATGTACTTATAATACCCTTTCTGTAATTGTTCATTTGATTACAGCCTAATCTGAACTTGGAACCAGATAAAAACTTAACTCCAAGAACACACGTAGAATAAGGTCATCAATGCAATTAGCATGAAGTGATGCGAAACAGCATACATATAAATAGGGTAACAGAAGTGGTGTGAATTGTTATATCATGAGTCGTGTGAATATAATATCCCCCCCCTC